TTGGTTTTACTTACAGTTCGACTTGCCCTTCCTTTTTTATCCTTTAGCCCAAGTTGCTTATTAAATATACATGTGCAGAATGTACAGAATACAAAAGTATATGATATCCACTGACATAAGTATTTAAAATAAAATATATTTAAAAAAAAATACGATGAGGAACTCATCTGACTTTTAAATTCTTATGTGGGTTCCGCGATTCTATGGCGTAAGAGCTTTGTATATATTTTTTGTATAAATTTCTATTACATAAAATTAAAAAAAATTAGAATACTATAAAAATAAAAAAAGATTGCTGTTATAAAATCATTGTCGAAGAAGGAGCTTGAGAGATTGTGGGTAATGTGGGCGATAGCATACATTTGTATATATGTGCATTAAATAAAAAATGTGAATTATACTCGGTCACTTTTGATTTAGAAATATAAACTTATCATCAGTTATGTAGATATGCTGGTGCGGGAAGTGGAAACCTAACTACATGAATGAGGGAATGAACGAGTGAGAGGAAACTTCGATGCAATATGAAAAAATTGCATATAATAGAAAGCAAGCTGCTTAAGGGTTGCTTTAACATATACTTGACATTTCTGTTTCCATTTCATTGGTTGATCTATACAGTCTATACAGTCTTTGAGATATTAGATCGTGCAATTCGACTATATCAAATGGCTGGGATGATTAGTTCCGTGTGTAGGTGTACTTGCATTAAGTTTTTTGAAAGGAATACACCGTGCAGACCCCTTAATACACCGTGTTATAAAATAGTCCCCTTAAAGTTTCCCTTAACGAAGACGCTATCAGCTTAACTTCTGAGGATTTCTTTAGCTCAGTCAGCTTTTGTTTATTTTACGTTTTTGCATACAAATGTCTTGTAGTTTTATGTTGGACATTAGCTATTTAAATATGTTGAAAAATCAATTAAAGAATTATGTATCGATGGGATTGTCTCAACATTTGGATAGGCGAAGATAATAAGACAACAATGACATTAATTTTTTGCAGAAAATTGGACAATCCAATTAAATTTTATTGGAATATTGGCTGAAGTTTTTGTCCTACAAGTCTTTTACATAAAAGTAAGTACAATTTAACGTTGCTGCACTTACAAATTTATTTGCGATACATTTTTTGGAATTTCTAGAATTTTGAATTATTTTTAGAAGAAATCGATAGTAGAAATCTGTAGAAGTGTTGCCGTAGGTTTTCCCAAATCGAATGAGACCCATATAAGCTACGCTTCACTGCTCATTGAAAATCAATTAAATTTTTGTTTGAATTAAAATAATTAATGATTATTTAAGAAAATGCTTCCATAAAAGCAATTTAAAAAAAAAACACTAATGGATAATGAAATAATAATAATAAAAAAAGGAAAATATATTTTAATTGCACAAAACAACATAGCCATAGGGAAAAGCAAATATTTTATTTTAATTTATTAATTATTTAAATTGCAATATTTTGTTTCAAATAAATTGAAATAAATGACCAAAGCTAATAAAATACTTTTTTTAAATATATAAATAATTTAAAAATTAATCACATTAATTATAAAAAATTATTTTTTTCTCTTACAGGTGAGTTTATTCGCAACGAAATAATTAAAAACAGGTAAAATTTTACAATATATGTAGTACATGTGTATATAATAAAATATTATTGAAAATTATGAGAAACGGTATCATTATTAAACAGATTAAAAAAATAATAAATACTTAATCGATGTGGTACATTGAACAATATTTGCTTCAACGGGAAAACCATTTGCTACGGATTTATTGATAATCGAAGCCAGCAGGCACTTAATAGTTTAAGTCGTTAAATTTTTTATATATATTTGCGTATTAAAATAATTTATTTGAATTCAATGTCTTCTGTAGAGGACCTACATTTTACTTCTTTTTGTCTTATAAAATCATAAATAAATGCATTTATTTCAAGCAACTAACCACAGTTCTCAAACTTTATTATCGTTATTATCGTTAATAATGCATTATCGTTAATCCCGTCTACATTACAAAAGCATATAAAGTTTTAAGAAGAAACTAAAATCATTCCTGCATTATTTTCGTACACAAAATATTCTTCGTCTTCTTTTTCTTTAATTGGAATTTTGCGTAGTTTTCTGCTTTTTGGAGAAAATTAAAATTCTGTTTTTGAAAAAATAAAAATTATGTGGAAAGTGCAATTAAAGCTGAAAAAGTGTTGCTGTGTTTCTTTATTGTGAAACATGCAGGATTTTGCGGTGCGGTTGGTGCGGTTTCCTTTATTTCCTTCAACATTTTTTCAAAGCATTTTCGGTCGTAATTTTTTGGTTTTGCCTTTTTTTGGCAGTAAGTGCTTTCATGCGCTGCACTTCACACAATATCCTGTGCTGTGTTGTTTACCGCACATAAACACACGTGCACTAACCCACACACACGCACACCACACAAAATGAATTTAGTGCAGAAAAAGTAAACATAATTACAAATACCAACAAACAATAATCGTAAAAACAAAAAATTATAATCGGTTTACGTCTTCTTGTTTTGCTTGCGATCATTAGGAAATGTAAATTATGAAGCATACCTTTAGGGTGTGTATTCGCCATGAGCAAACGTAAAATGGCGTGTGAAATATAGTAAACCACACAAAATTAACTTCTGTGTGTGTGTGTAGTAAGAAATAAAAAAAAAATAAATAATTAAAAGAATTCTTTAAACAAATTTTGTTATGAATTTTTTAATAATCGACTTCTCAAATTTTAAATTAATTTATTAAAAAACTATCGTTCGACGTGATTAAATGAAGTATTAAAAATATTCTCATTATTAAGTGAATGTATTGTCTGTCGATACAATACATATATTCAAGTCACGATGTTCCTGTACTACGATATATATAGCTTGTGGCTAACAACCTGTTGCAAATTCATTAATTAATACATTCTTCTAATTAAAACACGTTATTATTACCAGATAACATTAAACAAGTGCTTGAATGTCTAGAAAAGCAATGTAATTTGAATGAAAAATTTACCTTAATGAACTTAAAGTTTTATACAAAGAAGAAGAAGACTATACAGCACCCATATATAAACGCAAGAAATAGCCACATAAATATTACATATAATATGAAGAAATATCGGTAAAAACCGGTTCAATAGCACAATTTCTCGAGGAAATTGAATGGAGAGAAATACTCCATAATCGTGAAGAGACACAAGGGATTTCTAGGTTGCAGTGAAAATTTCTGAACTCAGTAGTAATATTATGAGTATTTTTGCTTTCTCTAAGACTAATGGTACTCGACGACTTTTCTTATTCTTTTCTTTTTAAAAAGTCTGAATCTGATCTAATGCTTATATTTTTATCGTTTGCATATGACAGAAATTTAACTAATCACTTCATTATATTTCGTATTATGTTGATACCTAATTTACTAATTCTAATTACACCCTATTTTTATTTCAAATTTTACGGATAGATTACCTTGTTCCTTATTCTACAAGTTTCCTACCTTCATGGTTCCTTTTTAGACTCTCCAAACTGTTTTAAAATCTATAAGAAAATGATATTCTGTGACGTCATGTTCTTCTATTTTCTCTGACATTTGAATTAATGTATATATCGGATTTTTTTATATAATTTTGAGATAAAGATAGGTTTATAGTTAGATAGGTAAATAGATGGAAAGATAAATAGATAGATAGATGAATGGATAGATAGATGAATAGTTAGATGGATAGATTGATATATCTTATCCATATGTTCATAAAAGAAATAATTTAATTCTAAATAAAATATAACCAAATTTTAATATTAAGTAATTCAGAAAAACTTCAACCTTTTTTTACTCTAGAAATATTACTTTTACGAACGTTTTAGTTGTTTTTGATATATCCATAGTATTTATACCTTTTTACCCCTCTTTCGAACAGTTTGCTATTGGAGAAATAACGAACGTTCCTCTGCACATGCAAACAAGTGTTTTTTCATTCATAAATTCATTCAAACAAATAAAAAAAAGTTATTAACACTCGTATGCGCACTTCACAAGTATTTCAATTTTATAACAGTTTGTGGTATAACAGTTATTCTCCTACTCGTTTATACCAATTGCCCCTTTTATTTGCAACAACAGCTGTTTGGAGCACGTAGCACAATTACTGCTTGCTAAACGTTGTGAAGGCACTTCGTGGCAATGTCCTTACGACGATTGGGTTCAGTTCAAAACCGGTGTTTCGCTAATGTAGACGTGATTAACGGTCTAAACAATCAAGTCAACACTGTACTTACTTCACTCCACATCAAGTATAAGAGTGAATGTCCTTAAGTGTTTTGATAAGTGTGCGTGAAACATAATAAATAATTAAAACAAAGCACATTTGACATAACAATAATAATAATAATAAATTAAATTAACAAAATAATTCTTTTTTCTAAAATAATTTAATAAACGGTTTTATTTTTTCCAAAGAAAAAGCTTAAAATTAATCCTAAATCTACTTAATTAAAAATAAATAAAATCTAATCCTAGTAAATGAATTCATCTTTGTGTGTGTTGGATTGCGATAAATTAGTTAAATCCTAAAAAATTGCCTACTTACGTGGATTTCACATGAGCAATTGTAGGCGCTCTTCGTAAGCTTCCATTAGATCCATTACATTCAGGACAATTCGGGGTTACTTTCTGTCCCTGATGCAAACGATGAAAAGCAAACTAAATTATTAAGAA